TGGGCATGGGCCAACAAGGCCATGGCCTAGGGCCCTCAAAATAGACCCAAAAAAGGGACTCCTTTTTATTATAATTTAGTATAATATATTAGATATATTTTAAGTTTTAAGAAAAATTAAAGAAGGTCCAAACTAACTTAAAATAAATTGACTCATTAAAAAATTGAAAGGCCCATTCAAAAAAATTAACATCGTTATCCATTGAAAATAGACCCAAAAAAGGATCCTCCTATTATAGTTTATTGTAATATATTAGTTTTTCCTTAATTTTTTTTTGGATTTAAAACATACCTAATATATTACAATAAACTATAATAGGAGGATCCTTTTTTGGGTCTATTTTCAATGGATAACGATGTTAATTTTTTTGAATGGGCCTTTCAATTTTTTAATGAGTCAATTTATTTTAAGTTAGTTTGAGCTTTCTTTAATTTTTTTTAAAACTTAAAATATATCTAATATATTATACTAAATTATAATAAAAAGGAGTCCCTTTTTTGGGTCTATTTTGAGGGCCCTAGGCCATGGCCTTGTTGGCCCATGCCCACGGCCGGCACTGTCCGTCACTGTTATATTGTTGAGAGTTAATTACACTTTATCCCCCTCAACCATCACTAAAACAATCTTATTCACCTCAACTTTAAAACTGTACATTTAAACCCCTCAACTTCAACTATCAAAATTTCTTCACTTTCACTCCTCTAGAAGGGGGGTCAAAGTTCAGTGGGGTAAGATGATATTCAATGATAGTTGAGGGAGGCAAAGTGGAATTAACCATATTTTTGGTTTGCAAATGGTTGTGATGGTGAAATGATTCTGACACTTCAATCATTTTTTTCACATGATTATAAAATTTTGTAATTTTAACATTTCAGGTTTGATAAGTATAAAGTGCCATGAGAAGTTCAAGACCTGCATAAAGAAAGTTCAAAAATCTGGAAAGCTTGGCTTTTCTACAGAATGTCCATATGACACAGCTGTGCCTACAATGGTGCAAGGCATGGATATGGCCATCTTGTTCAGTCAGTTGGGTGGCTCGAAGCTTGAACTCTGATAGAGTAAAGTAAACTCTTTTCGTACTGTGAAATCACGTAGTGTTGCTAATCATTCTTTCTTGATATAACATTGATAATAAAAACTGAAGCCATTAACAATTCATAAAGGTGTGTGGATCACTTTTTATTTCTGTGATTGCCCTGTGCAAGCCATTTACTTCCAAGGGCTCTTTTTGTTTCCCCTTTACATAACTGTAGCGATTTTATTGTACTTGCATTTCTAGCAATGCGTTTTTGCTTTTAATATAACCATTTGAATTCTTTCAATGAACTTTTATTGTGAAATCCTGTTGTTGTTGTCACGTAAACAACTAGCACAACTGTGATGTGAATTGCCCTGAAACTGACAAAATTTTAATTAACAGGTAGTTACTAAAAAAGGGAAAACTTACCTCATTTGAGAAGTTAGCTATTTTAGTAGGTTATTTTAGTTTTTGACTATTTTAATAGGTTAAAATTTGAATTTGAGAAGAGAGTTAGATTTTTTTTTAGTTGTATGTGATGTTTGTGAGACAAAAAATGAAATGATTATGAGTTTGATATGATATTTTGTCTTATTGACTATTTTAGCCTTTTGTCATTTTTTGAATTTTAACCCAAAAGTCAAAAAAAATCTTTGCCAAACACCTGCCATATCTAGACGCCCAAAATTTTAAGGGCAAATAACACTATAATGGTATCAGTAAAAATAGATTATAACTTGATGGTAAAGTTTATAAATTTTAATAATTAAATTTATAAAATTTACAATGAATTTGTATTATATTTTTGTTGACATCACTGGATAATAATTTTTCCAAAATTTTACCATGAATTGTACTATCAAGTCTTTTGTTTCCACTCTTTATAATCATTCTAATCTTGCCTTGGGTAACACTGTTCCTTCTAGTGATTTGATTTGGCTCAATTATCTACCACCTAAAATACAATTTTTCGGTTGGCTCGCTTGGAAAAACAAGGTTAAAACTTCTGTCTTCTTGCAACAGATTGGCGTATTGGATAGATCGGCTGCCACCTCATGCCTCTTTTGTAACTCACAGCAGGAAACTGTCCAGTATGTTTTGATTCACTGCCCTTTGGTGTGGAAAGTTTGGACTGGGTTATTACAATGGTGGGGTATTCTCTGGGTGGTTCCTGTCTCTGTTGAAGATCTGCTGCAGTGGTGGACAGGGTTCATCTGCAAGAAAAAGGAGAGGAGAATCTGGCGTGCCATTCCTTTGGTCACCCTCTGGTCCATTTGGAAGATCAGAAACGAGTGCCTCTTTTAAGCCTCCCATCTTAAGACCCAGCTGCTGCAGGAACTCATTATCTTCAGGCTAGCGATCTGGTTAAAGTCCTCCTGAAGAAGACCCTCAGCTGGTTATAAGGTCAAGAAAGGGGTGTAAAAGGGGGGTCAAATGGAGAGGAAAACTCTCTCTCAAAATATCCCCCGGATACAGAAAATATCTGGGGGATATTGCCCCACAGCTGGAAAGGGTACAGTGAGGAGAGCACGGCCGGCCGCTCACTTTTGCTGGAGGTGGCCGGCCGGCCACACCCCCTAGCCGGCCGGCTAGGGGTCAAAAAGGTCAACCAGCTTTTCTGGCCGGCCAGGTACTGGGGAGGTAGGCCTATGTGTGTACAACACAACCATGTAATTGAAATTCCAAGAAAGTGGGCCCAAGGGGTTCAACAATGGCTCGGAAGGAAGGGGTCAAAAGGGTCAAGTGACCTTAATGGCCGGCCACCAACTTTTAGTGGCCTCCCAGGTGTGTAGATCACAGATATGTGGTTGAAAGTTGGCAACGCTAGCTCTAAGGTATTCAACATTAGCCCGGAAGTGCGAAAAACGGGCGTCGGGAGGCTCTGGAGGAGAGATAACTGGTTGCTGCAACAATTGCTGGCCTCCCACCCTTCAGTGACCTTCTTCGGGATAAAACAGAGGTACCTGCCAAAAATGAGCGAAAACCGTTGCAAAACGAATGTTCCGGAGCCAAAACACGCAGTTAGGGGTCCCGGAAATGGGCTGTTAAGCACCGAAAATTGTATCTGACCTCGAAGTGGGCTTCTCAGCCCCCAGTGTTCCTCAAAATGGATGAAATAGGATGTATGCCAAAGATCAGAGCAATAGGAGATGGTTAGGTGGTCCCGAACCGAGGCACACGGCCTGACGGCTCCGAAAACCGGGAACCGGACTCTGAAATGGGCAAAATGGCCTACGGCCACAAAATGTAGCTTACGGACATTGAGAGATGGTCTACAGGACCCCTCCCTCCCTTCAGGAAAAGAAACAGAGAAAACCGAGTCTGGTTCGCAAACCGAGACAAGGCACAGAAAAGGGTTCGGAAGCCCGGAGGCAGGGCTCGCAGCCGCGACTCTGAAACTTCTGAACAAGCACATTATGCAACATCACCAAGCGCTCAATCGGTGACGTCTGAGTCTTAAGGTCGGTCAAAAATGGGGTGTCTACACAGAGCTCGCAAGGTTGAAACCTGGAAAGGCGGCCTTGGCAAAAGTTAGAGCGTAAAAGGAGAGGTTAATACCCGAGTGTACCTTATCCCGGAACTACGTTAGGCCTAATTCCCATGTTTGGGATACGTAGGCAACTTCATCCTGAAGTTCGGCCCCAATCATTTTTAGCCTGCTTGGCTCATCCATGTTGATTGGTTTATCCTTGTTCAACTCGGCTATCTTGTCCATGTACAAATTGGCTCGTTTTCATTCAAATTCAGTTGTTCTATTCCGTTGGAAGATTCAGCTGCAAGACAATTCAAGTTCAGATCTGAGATTGTGCATCTCAAGAGTAGATTCCGTGTAGGTCGAGCAGTGGCCGTTTGCAAAAATAGTTTTTGAGGATTTTTAATGAGGTTGACTTATTCTCTCAAAAATTATTCTATTTTTCAAAACTGGACCATTTCTTGGACCCAAAAAAGGAAAATTTTCAGTGCTCACAACCTAACTTGCATGATTTCGAATCAGAAAATCGAACAAGTATGTTAATCTAACTCTCATATTGGTCAAAATTGTTTTAGTAGAAAGCAAAAACAAAAAATGGTCAAAATGATGAACTAGGGGCACAGTGAGTCAGGCTTCTTGTCTTTTTCCCGTTGTCAACATACTTGCCAGAAAGGGCATCATATTCGCCAGAAAGGGCACAACTGAAGCTAACAGCAAAGAGCCGAAAGCTCTCTCATCCTCCAAGCAATGAGGTATCAAGCTAAGTGCGAAGCACGAACTGGAATGGAGCAGGATATTCCACTCCCTCATCTGGACAGATTTGATCACATCCAAACTGGCCAAGGGCATTGTCAACCGATGTCAATTGTAGATCTGTTACGCATCTGGTCGCACCGCAACCCCTCTGTGGGAAAGCTCATTGTTGTAAGCAGAAGAATGAGAATCTGGTAGAATACTAGGGGCAAGAGCCCACAACTTCCTGCTTATCCACCAACCACACCCAGGGGAGGAGGAAAAAAAAAAAAGAGATTGAAGAATAGAGAGATGCGTGCTGAGAGAAAAAGAGAGAAAATGACTTTTTCAGAAAACAAGAGAGTGAGTGCCAAAGTGATGTGAGAATCACAAATGAGAAAATGGTGGGAAACAATACCCGAAGAAATAGGCTCCCTGTGCACATCTGTATGTCGTGTCTTTTGTTTTGTTTGTCTCATATCTTGTTTTGAGTCGTTCCGAGCGTGTCTCGTTGTGTTTGGGTTATTTTACCTTTGTTTTCCATTTTTGTGTCGTTTTGGCTGTGGTCAGTTGTAGGCTCAATACCCGGTCGAGAACTCGTTTCTCTCCTCATTTCAAAATTCAAGAAATAAAATCGTTTGATGCTCAGAGTGCAGTGTCGTGCTCCAAACATTTGTGCAAAACAGAGGTTTGTTCTTTCATAAACTGCAGGGTTCAACCGTCAGGTCATGTGATAATAGTAAAACCAGGGACCTATCTGAAGCTATATAGGTCCTCGACTGACTCAAAGCAAAAGAAAATAGGAGAAGAATTGTGGAGCATGCTAATGTGTTTCACTAAAAAAATTACGCATGGATTGTATTCACAATGTACCTTCATACAATGTCTTTGTCAATGCTCCGAAGTATGAGTGTGCCTCATACCTTTAAGCCTTCAAGATCAAGTCTTGCTTCAAGCTAGAATGGCGATCGATTCAGAAAGTGCTCTCCAGCCCAAGTACCTCTCTCCTGCCAAGAGGCACTCGTGGTTTGTGTTTGCAAATGAGTTCCTAAGGAGACCCAAATCTGCGACGGTTGAAAAATTAGAGTTCGAATGGCTGATAGCCTAGAACGCAAAGCTTTCGGATTTCCGAGACTAAAGTACGGTTTAAATTACTTGGTGTGTATCCCCGACTTTAGAAATCTGTATGAGTCCCTATATATTGATAAATGTGTCAGCGGGTATGGGCCTTGATTCTAGATACTAACCTAGTCTGTCACCCCGTTAGAGAATAGGGAAAGTTGTGAATATGATCAGGAAGAAAAGTGGCATTCGTGGCTTCTATATGTAGAGGTTACCCCTCGTCAGCATTTGAGGGCCTTCGAACTATGAGTTGAAGGTAAGTTCAAAGAACACAAGAGGGAGATTCCCGTTAGAGTAGTGCGGTTCATCGCCACTCACCCAATGAGGTACTTTCTAAAAGCCGCCTTGTTTATTTACTGTAATCACATCACCTTTGTGCATCTATCGCACTCATTCATTTTGTGCATCTATCGCACTTGCATCTATCACACTTATTCACTTTGTACATCTAGCGCACAATTTCATTATAATTGTTTATTTGTGGTACAGTCTCGTACTTATCTCTTTTATCTCAGGATGCGTGGAACGCGCTCCTGATTGTTTGGTTTGTTTTCGGACCTCTTCTTACGATTTCGGCGTGGTTAGAGTGTCCATTTCCTCACACGATTTCAGCGTGTTTAGAATTCATCTCAGGTTGCGTTGTGCGCGTACCTGGACGGTTGTTTTCGGGCATCTTCTCACGATTTCAACGTGGTTAGAGTGTCCCTTTCCTCACACGATTTCAGCGTGTTTAGAATTTATCTCAGGTTGCATCGTGCGCGCACCTGGGCGGTTTGTTTTCGGACCTCTTCTCACGATTTCAGCGTGGTTAGAGTGTCCATTTCTTCACACGATTTCAGCGTGTTTGGAATTTATCTCAAGTTGCGTCGTGCGTGCACCTGGGCGGTTTGTTTTCGGACCTCTTCTCACGATTTTGGCGTGGTTAGAGTATCCCTTTCATCACACGATTTCAGCGTATTTGGAATTTATCTCAGGTTGCGT